TTGAACAGAAATATAGAGACAATGTACAGAAAGAAAGACTTCAAAGGTAACACGTTGTCAATAAAAACATATCTATCAATAATCACTCTCAATGTGAATGGCCTAAATGCGCCCGTCAAACAACATAGGGTGGCAGATTGGATAACTGATAAGACCCATCCATATGTTGTCTACAAGAGACCCATTTTGAACCTAAAGATACATCCAGACTGAAAATGAAGGGATGGAGAAGCATCTTTCATGCCAGTGGACCTCAAAAGAAGGCCAGGGTAGCGATTCTCCTATCAGATAAATTAGATTTTAAACTAAAGACTGTAGTCAGAGATACAAAAGGATGCTACATCATTCTTAAAGGGACTATCCACCAAGATGATCTAACAATTGTAAATATCTACACCCCCAATATGGGAGCAGCAAATTACATAAGAAAACTGTTAATCAGGATAAAGAGTCATATTGATATGAATACATTAATAGTAGGAGATCTTAACATGCCTCTCTCAGAAATAGATCATCCAAGCAGAAAACCAATAAAGAAACAAGAGCATTGAATGACACATTGGACCAGATGGACCTCACAGATATATAGAGAAGATTCCACCCTAAAACAACAGAATACTCATTCTTCTCAAGTGCACATAGAACCTTCTCCAGAATAGACCACATACTGGGTCACAAATCAGGACTCAACCGATACCAAAAGACTGAGATGATTCCCTGCATATTCTCAGATCACAATGCTTTGAAACTGGAGCTCAATCACAAGGAAGAGTTCCAAAGGAACTCAAACACCTGGAAGCTAAAGACCACCTTGCTTAAGAATGCTTGGATCAACCAAGAGATCAAAGAAGAACTGAAACAATGCATGGAAACCAATGAGAATGAAGACACTTCAGTCCAAAACCTATGGGATACAGCAAAGGCGGCCCTAAGGGGGAAATACATAGCCATCCAAGCCTCCCTCAAAAAAAAATTGAAAAATCCAGAATACACCAGCTGTCTCTACACATTAAAGAACCAGAGAATCAACAACAAATCAAACCAACTCCACACATAAGAAGGGAAATAATCAAGATTAGAGCTGAGATCAATGAAGTATTAAACCAGAGATACAGTAGAACATATCAGTGAAACTAGAAGCTGGTTTTTTGAAAGAATCAATAAGATCGATAAACCATTGGCCACACTAATCCAAAAGAAAAGAGAGAAAGCCCAAATTATTAAAATTATGAATGAAAAGCAAGAGATCACAACTAACACCAAGGAAGTAGAAACAATCATCAGAAGTTAGTATCAACAGTTATATGCCAATAAGCTAAGCAACCTAGATGAATTGGATGCATTCCTAGAAAACTATAAACTCCCAAAATTGAACCAGGAAGAAACTGACAACCTAAATAGACCGATATCTAGTAATGAGATTGAAGCAGTGATCAAAAACATCCCAAAAAACAAGAGCCCAGGACCTGATGGATTCCCTGGGGAATTCTACCAAACTTTCAAAGAAAAAATAACACCTATTCTCCTGAAGCTGTTTCAAAAAAGTGAAGCAGAAGAAAACTTCCAGACCCTTTCTATGAAGCCAGCATTACCGTGATCCCCAAACCAGGCAAAAACCCTACCAGAAAGGAGAATTTCAGACCAATATCCCTGATGAATATGGATGCTAAGATTCTCAACAAGATCCTAGCAAACAGGATCCAACAGCACATTAAAAAGATTATCCACCATGACCGGGTGGGATTCACTCCTGGGCTACAAGGATGGTTCAACATTTGCAAATCAATCAGTGTGATAGAACAAATCAATATGAGAAGAGAGAAGAACCACATGGTCCTCTCAATTGATGCAGAAAAAGCATTGGACAAAATCCAGCATCCGTTCCTGATTAAAACGCTTCAAAATATAGGGACAGAGGGAACATTCCTCAACTTCATAAAATCTATCTATGAAAGACACACAGCAAATATCATCCTCAATGGGAAAAAGCTTGCAGTCTTCCCGTTGAGATCAGGAATACGACAAGGATGCCCACTCTCAGCACTCTTGTTCAACATAGTATTAGAAGTCCTAGCAATAGCAATCAGACAACAAAGAGAAATAAAAGGTATCCAAATTGGCAAGGAAGAAGTCAAACTCTATCTCTTCGCAGATGACATAATTCTTTATATGGAAAACCCAAAAGACTCCACTCTCAAACTACTAGAACTCATACAGCAATTCAGTAACGTGGCAGGATACAAAGTCAATGTGCAGAAATCAGTGGCTTTCTTATACACTAACAATGAAAATACAGAAAGGGAAATTAGAGAATCGATTCCATTTACTATAGCACCAAGAACCATAAGATACTTGGGAATAAACCTAACCAAAGAGGTAAAGGAACTGTACTCGAGGAACTACAGAACACTCATGAAAGAAACTGAAGAAGACATAAAAAGATGGAAGACCATTCCGTGCTCTTGAAAGGGAAGAATAAACATTGTTAAAATGTCTATACTGCCTAGAGCAATCTATACTTCTAATGCCATTCCGATCAAAATTCCATCGGTATTTTTCAAAGAGCTGGAGCAAATAATCTAGAATATTGTTGGAACCAGAAGAGACCCCGAATCGCTAAGGAAATGTTGAAAAACAAAAATAAAACTGGGATATCAAGTTACCTGATTTCAAGCTTTGCTACAAAGCTGTGATCACCAAGACAGCATGGTACTGGCATAAAAACAGGCACATAGACCAGTGGAACAGAGTAGAGAGCCCAGATATGGACCCTCAACTCTATGGTCAAATAATCTTCAACAAAACAGGAAAAAATATACAGTGGAAAAAAGACAGTCTCTTCAATAAATAGTTCTGGGGAAACTGGACAGCTATATGCAGAAGAATGAAACTCGACCATTCTCTTACACCGTACACAAAGATAAACTCAAAATGGATAAAAGACCTCCACGTGAGACAGGAATCCATCAGAATCCTAGAGGAGAACATAGGCAGTAACCTCTTCGATATCAGCCACAGCAACTTCTTTCAAGATATGTCTCCAAAGGCAAAGGAAACAAAAGCGAAAATGAACTTTTGGGACTTCATCAAGATCAAAAGCTTCTGCACAGCAAAGGAAACAGTCAACAAAACAAAGAGGCAACCCACGGAATGGGAGAAGATATTTGCAAATGACAGTACAGACAAAAGGTTGATATCCAGGATCTATAAAGAACTTCTCAAACTCAACACGCACAAAACAGATAATCATATCAAAAAATGGGCAGAAGACATGAACAGACACTTCTCCAATGAAGACATACAAATGGCTATCAGACACATGAAGAAATGTTCATCATCACTAGCCATCAGGGAGATTCAAATGAAAACCACATTGAGATACCACCTTACCCCAGTTAGAATGGCCAAAATTAGCAAGACAGGAAACAATGTGTGTTGGAGGGGATGTGGAGAAAGGGGAACCCTCTTACACTGTTGGTGGGAATGCAAGTTGGTGCAACCACTTTGGAGAACAGTGTGGAGATTCCTCAAGAAATTAAAAATAGAGCTTCCCTATAACCCTGCCATTGCACTACTGGTGATTTACCCCCAAGATACAGATGTAGTGAAAAGAAGGGCCATCTGTACCCCAATGTTCAGAGCAGCAATGGCCACGGTCGCCAAACTGTGGAAAGAACCAAGATGCCCTTCAACGGACCATGGCATAAGGAAGATGTGGTCCATATACACTATGGGTTATTATGCCTCCATCAGAAAGGATGAATACCCAACTTTTGTAGCAACTTGGACGGGACTGGAAGAGATTATGCTGACTGCAGTAAGTCAAGCAGAGAGAGTCAATTATCATATGGTTTCACTTATTTGTGGAGCATAACAAATAATGGAAGACAAGGGGAGCTGGAGAGAAGGGAATTGAGGGAAAATTGGAAGGGGAGGTGAACCATGAGAGAATATGGACTCTGAAAAACAATCTGAGGGGTTTGAAGCAGCAGGGGGTGGGTGGTTGGGGGATCCAGGTGGTGGGTATTATAGAGGGCACGGATTGCATGGAGCACTGGGTGTGGTGCAAAAACAATGAATACTGTTATGCTGGAAAAATAAAAAATTAAAAAAAAAATTAAATAAAAAATAAAGAAATAAAATAAAATAATCAAGTGTGTCTAGATTTCTCAACCATTACTGTTAAACATTAAGCAACTAGAAAATTGGTAAAAATAGGTGTTTTAGTATTTGAGAATTCCATAGATTTTTTATTTTTATTTCTTTAAAGATTTTATTTGACAGAGAGAGATCACAAGTCAACAGAGAGGTAGGCAGAGAGAGGGGGAAGCAGGCTCCCTGCTGAATAGATAGACTAATGTGGGGCTCAATACCAGAACCCTGAGATCATGACCTGAGCCGAAGGCAGAAGCTTAACCCACTGAACCACCCAGGTGCACCAAGAATTCCAGAGATTTTTAAAAACTATTGTATCCCTCATTTCCCTTATGTAATTCTAAGGAACAGAAATATCTGAAGAGACTTTGACATAGTAAGAACAACACGTTTTAGAGATGTAGATTTATGGTCCTGCATTGATATTTACAAATCATGTGACGTTGAGCAAAGTACCTCACCTCTCCATAGGCTGGCTCCTCATCTGTAATACAGGTAACACCCGCCCTGTGACTAGTACAGTAACAATCTTACAACAGATTCAACATCACTGACAACTGTGAGTCTTAGTAGACAACACTGAATGGGAGGTCAATTCTAACACCAAAACAGTCATTCTTCACATCACAATTTTACCAAAGACTAATTGAGATTCCAAGGATTTGGAAACAATCAACTTTAGTACTTCCACTTTGTTACGTGATCAAATATATGATGTGAATTCAAAGATGACTGAGAAATGGACCTCGCTCACTAGGGAATATGCTGCGAGAGTGCGGCCCTTCCCATTATCTCAGAAAAAAACTGTTAATAGAAAATTCAAAAACAGAAAAGGAAAACTTTACCTTTTCTTTGGCCAAACCACTTTCCGGAAAGAAAACAGAGCGTGAATACTCGTAGCCACATCTTTGTAAGTGATCTGCTACTAGACAGTTAGAAGCATCCACTAAGAGGGCACTCCCTTCCACTGAAATGGACTGGGGCTGCAGTTCTCTACTCAACACAGGGTGCATCAATTCATGAATTAGCTGGTTGCGGAGCTGTGTCTAGCCCAAAAAAAAAAAAAAAAAAAAACACACACATGAAGGGAAATAAATTCAGCAATATTATTTCACTGGAGATACACAGATCTGTACATGAATTAGCATCTTTATTTCCAGAATGGTTCTGAACCCATGACCAAAAGCTAGGAACTAACCAACTTCACTTCCCTAGGAGCCCATTTCAGCAGCTTTTCACCAGGGTATCAAGTGCAGGAGACAATTCTACACCTTTTCACCTCTCTGTGGACTACTAAAGGATATGAAAATACTGGGCATATTGATCAAAACAAAACTGGGTTCCCAAAAGGGAAATCACATATGCAAGAAAGAAATTGGTAAACCCAAAAACATATTAAGATATACTTTTGCATACAGTATTTACATCTCAAGACACTGAAGTATAATAATTTTCTTACATTTTATAAGTGAGAAAATTATAGTGTAAAGCGGGTCATTTTTTCAAGGTTGTAACACTACCATTATTCATCTGGGTTTTAACAAAATTCCCCAAATTACTCTGGGTATTTGTTCTAGTCTATTTTGCGTATCATCTGAAAACATACATTTGGGCTGAGCTTAAGAATACACTGCCTAGATTCATGGGGTTCAGCAGTAAATGATATCTAATGACTTCATGTTAATAGAATACAAGCAAGAAACAAATGCAGTTCTTATTATACTTTTTGCTATTCTTTAGCTCAAGAGTAGCACAGTACATAATTACCAGTATAGAATAGGCCTTAGTATAGGTCTAAAGTCTCCTAGTTGGGGTGCCTGGGTGGCTCAGTGGGTTAAGCCTCTGCCTTCGGCTCAGGTCATGATTTCAGGGTCCTGGGATCGAGCCCCACATCGGGCTCTCTGCTCAATGGGAAGCTGCTTCTTCCTCCTCCTCTCTCTCTTTCTCTGCCTCCCTCTCTGCCTACTTGTGATCTCTGTGTGTCAAATAAATAAAAATTTTTAAAGTCTCCTAGTTAAAAAAAAAAAAAAAAAGACATTTACACATAACAGAATATGCATGCTCTGCCTCATCTAGTACAATTCAGTAACTGAAATAAAATGAGAGAAATCATAGCATTCTCCATCAGTAAAATTCAGAGGTGATTTAATTAAATTTGTAACAACTAAAGAATATATTTAGATTCAGCTTAATAAAATGATTTAGGGTGTCTTGCAAACAAACACTGAAATAGGGTAAGATTTAGAAAAGTGAAAGAAGCAGAAAGGAAAGTAAGGGTAGGGAGGAAAAAAAGCAAAGGGCCTTACAGGTCAATCTCCAGCCTAACAAACACAAAAAGCAAGCCATCCAGCACTTGCTGGAAGGAATCCCACAACTGGCTGGGGACTCTCCAGCAGCCAATGTAAAGAGGGAAATCCATTCAGAATTAATGTTCCTAAAATAGAAGTAAGTACAATAACTGGGGGGCTGGAAGAGAAGAAATTTGTGTAGCCTCAGCACAACTCTCTCCAAAATTAAGAGTAGAAATTAAGAGAAAGACTTGATAAATTCCGTTTAATAGACGCTAGATTTTGTACTTCACTAGAAATTCTTTGCAAACACCCAAATAGAATGTTAATTATGCCATTAAAAATTTCAATGAATTTTAAAAATTAAAACTCAGGCCACCGTCACTGAACTGAGAAAACACAAATTAGCTCAGACTTAGTAAGTAAAAATCTGTCTTGCTACTGGTAAAGCTGGGATAACAGAACTGAACAGCCAGCGACACAAAAGAAATATTATTTCTCTAGAAGATACACATTAGTAAAGTGAACCAAGGTAACATAATCCTGATATCAAACCCAAACAGGGACAGCTTAAAAAGGATAAAGATACATCAGTATCATTTCTGACTACAAATAAAACACTCTCAAATCTAATTCAGAAGCACAGTAAAAGAAAATATGCCATGGCCAGGAATCCAAGGATCATTCTACATTAGAAACCGTATTAATACATTATTCACTACAATTAATTCCAAGTGGGTTACAGAGGTTTTTTTGGGTATAATGTAAATCTTCAACAGAGAACTGCTACATAAATCACCCATACATTCAAAGACAAGCCTGGTGCCACTGAAAATGAGGATTTCAAGGAACTCTGAAGGACACAGGAAAATGTTCACCATATAATATCAGATTAAAAAGGAGAGGTGTCTGGCTAGCTCACTCAATGGAGCATGGGACTCTTGGTCTCCAGGTTGTGGGTTCAAGCTCTGCATTGGGGAATGGAAACTACTTTAAAAAAAAGAGAGGGAGGGCACCTGGGTGGCTCAGTGGGTTAAAGCCTCTGCCTTCTGCTCAGATCACGATCCCAGGGTCCTGAGATCCAGCCCCGAGTTGGGCTCCCTACTCAGCAGGGAGCCTGCTTCCTCCTCTCTCTCTGCCTGCCTCTCTGCCTACTCTCTGTCAAATAAATAAAATCTTAAAAAAAAAAAAAAAAAAAACTTATGCCAATTAGTAGCTGTATTAGCGATGAGGTTTCTCTGTTTTTCTATATTTTTCAGATTAATCTCAAGATTTAAGTTACCAAAACAATGGAAGAGAGAAAACTTTTTTTTAAAAGCTCACTTTTTCTTCAGCACTTTCTTTTAAAGAGAAGGAGAGGAGCAGAGGGAGGGGGAAAGACAGAATCTTAAGTAGGCCCCATCCCCAGCACAGAGCTGGTTATGGGCTGAGTCCACAACCCTGATCATGACCAGAGCTGAAACTAAGAGCTGGAGGCTCAACTGACTGAGCCACCCAGGTGCCCCCTTAATTTGACATTTCAAATAACAAAATATACTTTTGAAATGTATAAAGTAATAAAAACATTTGAGCTAATCCTATTCTTTGCTGTTCATATATGTACTAGTATCTGCTGCCCAAATATTTATACATTTCAATATATTTTAAGCAAGAGCATTCCCCAAATTATTCTCCCGTAAATCGTTCAACTCCTGTTTTCCATATGGTGTCTATTTCCTTCATTCAAAAGCGAGTACGATTACAAAACCACTTATTCAGGACTTGCAAACCAGATATATAAACCAAGTCCAACTTTACTAGAATGTGTTCAGTTTACAAAGCTACCCACTACCAGCTTAATATCAGTCCAATAAACCCATGATTTGAATATGCTCTTTTAAGACCACTCAAACTCGAAACCATTTTTAAGACTTCCGTATTCCGTTACAAAGAGTTACAGAGGAACATAAAAATGTAACTTAGCAATACAAACTATGGCTTACTTTTTTAAAAGCCAAGACTTGAATGTGTTTAAATCTGGACTGCGTGTTACAGGTTAACTTGTAAAAGTTATGTAAAAGACATGGCTAAAACGGATACCTTGAGCGTGTCCAGTATACCCCGATCCTTAAACGTCTGGTAAAGCTTTTTTCGCAGTTCATCTTGACTCAACACGTCAGATTCGGGGCGCATAGTGAACTGGAAGAAAAAAATGGTTACGGGTTACCCGGTGGGCTGATGGACCATGAATTTTTGAAAACAGACCAGTGGCCTCCCGGGAAACCTTAAGAGGCTGAGCAGGGGAAAAGAAGCTACAGAGAAAACAAACAACAGGTTTCTTTTCCACCAGTCCCTGGGGAGCAGCCAGTGTATCTACCCGAGCCGTTAGCTGCCAGCTTCCCCTGCCCCCGACTCCCCCCCGCCCGTCCTGCCTTGGCCCGAGTTAACACCCCGCCCGAGCTGCAGGCTCAGGAGTCCCGGCGTTCAGGGCTCGGTCTCTGACTGGGGCCAGTCGGGAAGAACAGGAGAGCTGAACACTTTGTCTCTCGCTCTGAACTAGGAACTCCAACCGACTCGCACTTCCGTTCCCACTGGTTCTGACGGGTAGGCGGGGTCGTGGCCCACACGCGACTTTCCCACGCGGCTGGAGGGCGAGGACCAGTAGTGAGGCAACAAGAGAAAACCGGGTACCAAACGGAATTCGCTGGGCTCCGCGTTGAGCCCGCAATGCCCGCCAAACGGAAGCGCCCTTGTCGGGAGTACTACGGCGCGCGCGCTGGGTTACGCGGCCCTCTGGCCGGAAGCTCCTCCCACCTCTCGCGAGATCGCATCCGCGGACTCTGGCGAGGATTGCTCAGGGAGTTCTGACGGAAGCTGGAAAGCTCGGGTCTGCTGAGGGAAGTGACTGGCTGTTTCCGTTGGCGGCATCTCCCCGCAGGTAGGAGATGGGGTGAGTAGGGGGCGGGAGGTCCAGGGGACGTTCCGGGTCCCGCGTGACGCGGGTTTTGGCCCGGTATCTCCAGCCCGCCCGGGGACAACCGGATCGGACCTGGCCAGTCCCCGTTCGGTCACATCCCAGGCGACTGGGCCGACGCACATCGCGTTTTAGCCCGCAAGTGTCGATCAGCTCGGGGCCTTTTCTTCATTTTGCCTTTCACTGGGACATTCAGCTAATTCAGGGTTTTTTAAACGGCCGTACTGTTGTCATTTGGAGCTGGAAAATTTGTGGGCCCTGTCCGTTGAGGGGCGGGGATAGTCCTCTCACAGGCAGCCTGATAGCTTGTAACAAAGTGCTTGGTAACATTGTCTCGAGTAAGTTTCCAGGTAACCTCAAAGGAGCAGCCCTAAGCTTGTCCTCTGGGCAGTTTGGGATAAATCTGTCACCCAGAGTTTAAAGACTTGGTACACACGTAGGTACTGCCCTTCGATCTCAGCCATCTTTCCTGCTACAGATCTTCCTTGTCCCGGTCGTTATCAGCACCAGGTCCTGGCAGTCACTACTGGCTAATTAGAAGTGGCTCACCAGCGATAACCCATTTGCCATCCCTCACCATATCCCTTTTCCTTTGGACCACATTCATTATATTTGAAGGTAAGATCCTGCTGTATCTCACTCCCAACCCCCAGAAAGGCCTTCCCATTTAAACATTCTCTGGTCCTTCAGTAGCTCCTTTCCAGAGCATTTCTTACCACACACAGTTCAGAGTTATTGATCCTTTTAAAATGAGATTGCCAGAGATGCGTATGTTCCCTGGAGGTGTAATTAGTTAAAAGGACATGATCTTAGTACAGCCTCAAATTGGCATTAGCTTTTTGGGTTACTGTATCAGACTACTGCCCTTTACTGAGCTTGCATTAAATGTAAACTTTTGGGTTCTTGTACATGAACTGCTCTTAACCTAGGTTTCTCTCCTATTGTACAGTTTGGGTTTTTGTTTTTCCTGGTTTTTAACTTTATCGTGTGTGTGTGTGTGTGTGTGTGTGTGTGTGTGTGTGTTCTCTTAAAGTCTATCTTGTTCATTTCACTTAAATTCTCTTAACCTGGAGGGACTGTTGAACCTTTAGTGTTGCCTTCCAGTTTATTAGCTGCCCAAGCATGTTATCCTTCAATGTGATAAATTGTCCCTCACTTAAGCATTCAGAATGTTGATCTGAACTAGGTGAATGTCACACGATGGTTCCCTGTCAACCTACTTGTACAACTTTTAAGTCCCTTTGGGCACTGACATTCAAGTCTGGTAGGAGTGGTCCCTCACTCAACAAATAAAATGAGTGCTGCTGCACCCCCGTCCCCTTGTAGCTCTGACAGTACCACGGACTTCTCGGAGCCACAAATCTCCAGTTTGTTCTCAGGTAGATACCACGTTACTTCATACACTGATTTGCCTTCTCCTGGATTTCTCTTCCAAAACAGAAAGTCTGAGTTTGTCAGGGCTTGTTCTCTTATAACAAGTACTTTGACTAACCACTTGATTTTTGTCTGGGGATTCATGTTAATGTAAATTAAAAGCTCCTAACCTGTTCTGACCGGAGGCAGGTATTTCATACGTATTTCTCTTGGTGTTTTAATCTATTCTGAAAGTACTCAGTTACAGAAGATAAGTTTCTGAAAACAGTAACACTTACGTATCTGAGGTGGTTTGACAGTTTTGTTCCTGAGATTTCCCATGTCCCTGATGAGTATACAGCCACTTTTGTTAGTTAAAGATGTAAGATTTGCTAAGACTTGAAGATCTGTATTTATTGAGGTCTTTTTTTTTTTTTTAATATACTTGTCTTGAGGTTCCTAGCCCGCCTAACTTTTTGTCACACTTGCTATTAGAAAATCATGCTCTTTAAGGGAGCTCCTGGGTGGCTTAGTGGGTTAAGCCTCGCCATCGGCTCAGGTCATGATCCCTGGGATTGAGCCCCTCATCAGGCTCTCTGCTAAGCAGAGAGCCTGCCAACCCCCCCTCCCCCAAAACCACCTGCCTCTCCAGCTACTTGTGATATCTCTCTCTCTCTTTCTCTCTCTCTCTGTCAAATAATTTTTTTAAAAAAGGAAAATCGGGCGCCTGGGTGGCTCAGTGGGTTAAGCCGCTGCCTTCAGCTCAGGTCATGATCTCAGGGTCCTGGGATCGAGTCCCGCATCGGGCTCTCTGCTCGACAGAGAGCCTGCTTCCCTCTCTCTCTCTCTCTCTCTCTGCCTGCCTGCCTCTCTGTCTACTTGTGATCTCTCTCTGTCAAATAAATGATAAATAAAATCTTTAAAAAATAAATAAATAAATAAATAAATAAAAAAGGAAAATCATGCTCTTTGAGAAAACTGAAGTTCAGCAGATCTGCATCCTATGTACCAGATGACCTTTCTCCCCCTCTTCCTGATTGTAGTCTAAGAAGGCTTTTGTTTTTCTTAACTTATTTCACACATTTCCATTCATTTTGTGCTTCACAGCCCTTCTCATGCCCGGCTCACAGGTACGTGATTATTTTTTTGCGTTCGTTACTAGTTAGTGCCCTGTTTCTTATATCATGTACACGCCCTCTTCCAGTTCAAGTTAGTCTAGAGCTCCTGGATCACCACATTGATTTTAGTTGTCACTCCCTCTCAAATAGCTCAAATTACCTGGCCATCAGGGACAGCTACTGTTTTCATCCCAGGTGAGAGTCCTTGAGTCAACAACTCTCATCAGTGGTTATGGGAGTTTCTTCACAAGTGTGGAAACTTCAACTTCTCACAAAGGTGCTGTTAATCATTTGATCACAGACCTCCCCAAGCAGGCCTCTGAGACCGTGAAGGCCTCAGCACGAGAACCTTCACAAGGTTCTTTTCTGTGTTGAGGCCAGGTAGTCCCAGCATGCCTCTCATTCCTGTGTTCCGGCTTCACCCGCCACTGCCCCAGCTACTGCCCCCCACTTCTCGCAGTACCATTCCCCAAGTGTGTCGTGCTTATTCTGTACTGGGCTCTGTGGTAAGCATTAGGGAGGCATGCTGGGCAAGAAAACCACTTAGATTACCCTCAGGTTTCCCCAGGTAGTTTCCCCCTGACTCATCACTGTCCCTGGCTTCCTTCCCCTCCCTCTGACCGTCTACAGTGCTTTGAAACTCTTGTCCTGGGGTAAGTGAACTCCTTTTTTTCCTCAGTCTCCCTACAGAATGCACCTACGTTCTGTGAGCACTTCAAATATGTCCTTTTCCCCTCATTCCGGCAGCTTTCTTGGCTCTGACATGTGTGCTGTCTACTGCTCTAACAAAGTTGAGTGGCTTAAACAACACAAATATATTACCTCACTTGTGTGTGGCACAGACGTCTGCCGCGGGTCTCACTGGGCTGTGTTCCCTTCTGGAGGTTGTTGGGAAGAATTGGTTTCTTTGTGCTTCCAGAGGCTGCTTGCCTTCCGGCCCTTTCTTTCCTCTTCAACACTGGCAACATTGCATCTTCTTGACACCTCTTACCCCCTCTGCCATTGCCCTTCCTTCTGACCTTTTGGGCCTCTCTCTTCCACTTTTTTTTTTTTTTAATTTTAATTTTTTTTTTTAAAAGATTTTATTTATTTACTTGACAGACAGAGATCACCAGCAGACGAAGAGGCAGGCAGAGAGAGAGAGAGAGAGGAGGAAACAGACTCCCAGACGACCAGAGAGCCTGATGCGGGGCTCAATCCCAGAACCCTGGGATCATAACCTGAGCCAAAGGCAGAGGCTTTATCCCAGTGAGCCACCCAGGCACCCTCTCTTCCACTTTTAAAGATCTTTGTAATTATATTGGGCCCACCTGGCTAGTCCGGGCTCCTCTCCCTGTCGTAAGGTCAGCTGGTGAACCACCTCAGTTCTCTCTGCAGCTTTAATTCCCCTTGGCCTGGAAATGAACATTCACAGGTTTTCGAGGTCAGGATGTCGTCAGGGCGGGGCATGCAGTTCTGGAACCAGCACATGCTCAGAATGGACGTGTTCATTTCGTCCCTCTTTTTTATCCTTATTTCTTTTCCTGGTGCATAGACTCATCTTGATACTCTGCTTGATTACCTCAGTCAGGCATTTGGAAACATCCTTGATTCTTCCCTCTTCCTCAGTTCCCCAGTTTAATCCATTGCCAAGTTCTGTGTAGCCATCTCCTCCCCACCTGGAGACTTCTTCTTCTTAGGAGAGGCGTGAAGAGATGTGAAGAAGAGGCCCCTACTCTAGGTGATGGGGAAATGGGGCAGACACACACTGTTCGAGCTCACACAGACAGCAGCAGCTGCTTCACCTGTACTAATTCACACTTTGTAGATGGAGGAAAGGGTTGCTTCTTTTGTATCACAGACTGGAGTACTAAGTAACACTTGCTTCCTGGATGGAGGGAAAGTAGACTTGGCGGAACTTAAAACATTTCAAATCATTGTTACAGAGCCAATACAGAGGCCACCGTCCAATACAGTAGCGACTGACCGCATGTGGCTTTTTAACCAAACAGTGAAAAACTCAGTTCTGCAGACACAATAGCTACCGGTGGCTACCACACTGGACAGTGCAGATACAGAACATTTCCTTCCCCATGGAAAATTCAGTGTATCAGACAGCAGAGAATTCTAAAGTGTGTCTCATCTTTGCCTACCACCTTGGCATAATAAACCTCAAACACTAAGTGATGTAGACATTCCCTTCCGAGACAATGTGGTTGTAGTCTCCCAAGATTTCCATTTTTTCCACTTCACCTTCCAGTTCTGCCTGTATAGTCGAATAGTCACATTACTCGTTCAGCTGCTATGAAATCAAATTATTGGCAGTTCAAGTTCTGTCCAGCTGTAGAGTCTATGACCTGATCTTTATGTGGTGTTTCCTCGGTTCCCTTTCTGTTTATCACCGTGTACTGTCACCGTGTACTGACACTACACAGGCGTAGGAATGAGGGTTTTCTTCCTTAGATGTGTATTGTTTTCTGCTGCTGCTTAAATGTTTGTGTGGCAGAAAGGAAGCCCTTCCCTTGGCAAACTCCAGCTGCAAACTCCTATTCCAATTCGGACATCATTGTCGACTTTGTTCAGATTGAAAGTTCTCATCCCTTTGCCCCTCACGGTTTCTTTCAATCTCGAGAACTGTTGCTAATTCTGCTAGTTTTGCAGAGCTTTCACTTCATTCCTGCCTGTCTTATTATCCAGTTTTACTTTTGGGGCCTTTCCCCCAGTTTTCCCCTAAGACACTTCCTGTAAAGGATCAGATAGTCTTCGTTGCAGCCGCTCAATCCATCATTTTGTCATCAGGCAAAGGCCGCCTTCAGCAACAATAAAAGGATGGACAAGGCCAGATTTGGCCTGCAGGATGCAGCGTCCCAACACCTGGCCCGAGTTACATTCTAAATTCCCTTTACCTCATCGTGCCAAAAGAACGTCTTATTTGCCTCTTTTTCCAGTCATGGGCCTTCCAATTCCAGAGTTCAAAGTGCCAGTTGTGCCTTGATTTCCTTAACAACAGAGATTGTATTCATTAGGAATACATTTCAGATTTTCTCATGTTCAGTGTGATTCAGCAGAAGCCCCAATGAAGCTTGATGAGCCATGGGTTCTGACATACCTCACCGTACCTGCCCTGAGACGGCGTACTCTCAGCCAGGTGGCTGCCCCATGTGGAGGCCTTAAGGGTCAGCACGTCTCCGCATGCATATGCTCCTCTTTGTCGTTCTAGAGAGCCAGATATCGTGCCTAATGTTTCACATGCATTACGTTGTATAATCCTCAAAGTTACTGTAAGGGATCCTGATAGTTGCCTCTGTCTCACCGGGGAGGAAACTGGCATTGGGACTTTAAGGACTGTGCCTGTGGTCATGTTTCCAGTAAGTGGCATAGGTAGACCCGAACCTAGCTTTGTCTGATTCCAAAGACCCTGTGCTAGAAGTACATAAATATGTACATAAATCCTTCCACCCATCTGTCTGTTCATCCAGATTTTGATTGTGCTAAAAGCCACAGAATCCCTGATTCCCCCCGCAACCAACCCCACCCCCAACACTTTCTCTTCATTTCCTTAGCAAACCTATAAACACCAGTTCTGAGATTTCTTAACACCTGAAATGTCTTTCTTTGGGGATTATGGTTTCTTTCATCTTTTCTGGAATACACAATTGTGCCTTCCTTCCTTTCTTTTTTTTTTTTTTCTCTTTTAGTTATCCCTATATCCAATATGCGGCTTGATCTCACAACCCCGACATTGACAGTCACACACACACCACCAACCTAGCGAGCCGGGCGTCCCGTGTCTTCCCTTCTTACAAATGCTGTTTGAGGAGGCATATCATAAGCTCTTGCATTTGCAGAGACTTAGAATTATAGCATACATTGTTCAGGTAGAAAGAAGACAAAATCCGCACCTTTTATCAACTTCTCCCAGTGTTAGTGCTAGTAATGCTAACTGGTACCGTCCAGGTTTGTTCCAGCTTGCTCTGTTCTTTTGGGGTCATGAGAATGTTGTTTTTATGATTTTGTGTTAGAAGTCTTCCAGTTTCCCGGTGAAAATAAGGTACTGGATTCTATAGGACATATCACAGACCTAATTTGTATAGTCCCAAAGCCATTTGTCTATGGCGATATACTGGAAAACGTGACAAGCTTAGTGCTCTCCTCTTCTACTATGTCAGGTTTAAATAAAAAATTGAATTTTAGACTTCTTGTTAACAATTTTTCATTTTCAGTATGGAGTACTGAAAACATGTTATTTTCATTTAACTAGGAGCTATATATTGAAGACAATGTCTGGAAGCTTCTACTTTGTAATTGTGGGCCACCATGATAATCTGGTTTTTAAAATGGAATTTTTGCCAGCTGGAAAAGCAGAATCCAAAGTGCATATGGAACCTTAAAAAATTCTGTAAGAATTGTTATGTTGTTGTAATGATAATGGTGTGGCACGATTTGACAGCTGGGAGAGACCCAGACAGATGAGGTAACTGGAATCCACCACAATTAAATGAGCCTTGCCCTGCAGTCCCACAGGTTGAAAGAAGCCGGCCAGGGAACAGTCTCCAAGTGGCTGACTCATCCTTTGATTCACCACACACTTGGCACATACTAAGGAGCAGGATGCTCTGGGTCTCTTCTCTGATATGTAGTTCACTGTGTCACCCGTTGTGAAAAGCTGCTCCCTGAGGACATAGAAACACAGTCCACCTGTTGTGGGACTGGAAGAACAGTTGTTACTGACTGGAAATGCCATGAGATCCCATTCTGTCCAGGTGAATTACGTTTCTCGTCAGGGTATACGAAGTAGGGCCATCTAAACCTGGAAGGGCTAAAAGAGACCCTTGCTTCCATGCCCTGCTGGCCCTGAGACTACAGCAGTTTTCAGTGCCTATCTGCATGAGCACTGTGAAGCTGCTAGGGGAAGATCCATTCCAGGCCTCTCTCTTAGCTTCTGGTAGTTCCTTGGCTTGTGGCCACAGAACCCCAGTCTTCAAATGGCATTCTTGCTGTGTGCCATCTCTACATGCCCCTTTTTCATAACATGCCAGTATCATAATTAGGGCCATCCTACTCTAGCATACTAACAGCTGCAGTGACCCTCTCTCCAAAGAGGGCCATGTTCTGAGGTACTGGGTGGGGTGGTGGGTGGTTAGGACTTCAACAGAATAATTCAGTTCAGGGAGACAAGATGGCAGGGAAGTAGGAGGAGGCACCATTTCAACCTGTACCCTAAAGTGAGCTGATTACCTACCAAAGAACTCTGATCACCCATGAAATCAGCCTGAGATCAGAATTATACACGTCTGGATCTCTACGGGGGCAGAAGACGCCAGGGGCAGGTAAAGCGGAGTGAGAACGTTGGACTGAAATCGGAAGATAAACAAAAGGTGGAGGGAGCCACCAGAGGCGACCCATTGGAAAGTAATACCCCAATACAAGAGTGCCCTGCATCTGGGGACCAGCATTAACTTGGAGTCTGGTTGAAAGCACTCAGAAAGAGCAGAAGAATTCACTTCAACCCATTAATGGAAGTCTTCGTGAAAAGTTTATTTTGAAATAAAGAATTTCACAGGGTTAAGACTCCCAGGTTGTGAATTCCCTCTCCACATTATGGAGGATAGTCTCACCTCCAGTTAAGCCCACGAAAAGGACACTCAGCTCTGATAGGACTGTCTCCTCATGTTCAGACTGGTGACTACTCACAGCTGGGGCTGATCATGGCCTCCTGCCACTCCCAGTCCCCTGTCATGTAAGCTCCATTCACCTGAAAGAGGCCAACGCTAAGCCTGTAAGAGTGCTACCTCCTCAGCTGTCTCCACTCACCAAATGTCACCGTGTCTCAAGGCCTTCACTGCCCTTTTCCCCTGCTGACCCTGAGATCCATGCCAGTATCACTTCTGTGTAGCTCTCCTTTGCCACCACCTTAGCTCTCCAGCCTACCGCCACCTGTCTGCTAGCCAGAGCCACTTAACGTATTTTTTTCATGTCTTCCTCTAAAAAGATATGAGGGTCTTTAAAGCAGAATCTCTATTTTTAACCTACTGTTCTTCACACACTTAAATAATTACCAAATTTCATAACTTCCTTCTTGCAAAATTAAAAAAATAATCTGTATTGTTTCTTGAACACCAACATTTCATTTGTTAATTGGTTGTTTCTATTTGTTGAGTCTTAGATAGCAAATTGAAAAGAATTTGATGTGAAAACACTTAAGATCTTTTCTAAGTCCCATGACAGTAATAAATGAAGTAGCAGCAGAAGATGCCCCCTACCCCCAAGAAGACTATGTATAGAATTTCCAGAATGAAATGTTGGTGCTCTCGATGCTGTGTGGAAATGTTAATCTGGTACTACTCACGTTGTCATCTAGGACGATCATCGTCATCTGAACCAGTTCATAGCTCATGCTGCTCTTGACCTCGTAGATGAGAATATGTGGCTGTCCAACAACATGTACTTGAAAACTAGACAAGTTCAATGAGTGGTTTGTTTTGGCATTTGTTACTACAGGTTATATCCTTATCTTTAAAAAAAAAAAAAAAAAAAGATCTCTAACTAAGGGTTGGGTAACAGACTAAAACAACATGGGACATAGATGCCAGACTGTGAGTCTGTGGACTTCAAGTGTCAGGCAAAACTGCCATTTATGGGGCTACTGTTATTTGGGCGGGGCGGGGGGGAGGCATTTGTTTAATATTTTTGTTTAACAGATAATTTTGTTTAACAGTTACTTTTAGAACCAAGTCTCAAATAAAGCTATGGTCAAGCTGAACCATTAGGTTGATTTTACTTCATTCTGTAGTGACTTTCTAACGTAGAAAGATTGTGTCATCTGATAAAAGTTACCTAACTTCAAATGCATTTTACATATTTGACTTTTCCAGCAAAATACAATGCGTGTGACTCATTTGAAAGATACCATATCACCTCACTACTTTTCATTTTTCATTTCTACTAATTCACAGTCAGATGGGAGCCAAAAAACCCTCTTAGAAAATATGAGCATTTAAAAATAATATAGCTTTAATTAGCTTGATGTCTCTGGGAGATGTTCTGCATGATCCTCTCTCATCTTTCTCTCTCCCTGTCTAGGGACAACAAGCATTGCATACTGCAGGCATCAGTTACATGGCCTCCCTTTTGACAGGACAGACAGTCCTGGTGCAGATAACTATTTAGGCTCTTTTTTATTT